GAATTAGCCTTCCAATTGTTTTGATTAGAGGAACTGCACGTTGACGACCTAAATAAGCCTGTATCTTTTAATACTTTTACAAATGCTGGGTCATACCATTACGAATTGACATTTTCGTACCGAAGACCGTACGCATATTCGTAATCACATCAGATGGCTGAATACTTCTGCTCATGAAATAAAAAAATTAAACCCGCTAGCATAACAGTATTTAAAAAGGGAGATATGGTATGATGACCATTTATTTTCGACGGTGGACGATATTTAGATCCTCTTTCAGACAGCTTATAACCTCTCGGTCTTGAATAAAGTTGAGGTCCCTGTAATAACACGGTCATAAGGATAATGTTTCTGTCATGATAAAGAATTATTATTTCCTATACTGCATCTAGATTACGCGACATATACTTAAAAATTAAACTCCTACTGGGTATTTTAAACTTATGCGAAATAATAAGTGAATGTGTTTGTCTTTTTGTCGCCTTTCGGTTTTGTTTTTGCCATGGTAGTAGTAAATTTATCTGACTTATGAGTTTTGAATGTCCCCTTGATATCTTCCACCTCTTTTCTCTACTCAGTATGATGCGGCAAAGAGAACATCACCATCTTAAAAGGGAGAATTGTTTTGGCAAACGAAAGATGAAATTTTCTTTTTCTCGTTTATTCTAGTTCAATTTTTATTCATTTTATACCATTACAGTTATGGTTTTATTAATAAATAAAAAAATATGACCTGTAATATCATCATTATTGAGCTGAAGTTCTTTTTGGATAAATACATTGAACATATTTAATCAAAGATTTATATAGTAATATATAATAGCAGATACAGTTAAGTCTGCCTTATATCTTGACTTCCATCTAGAAATTGACAATGCGGGTCGGTTTCGAACTTTACGCCAAAACGGTGATTTCAGCTTCCCAATTGTGAACTTTCCATTCCTATGTAGCAACATTTCAGCAGCGCCTGCATATGGAGTATATATCTCCCAGTTGATACGATATTCCAGGGCTTGAATTTCCTATCATGATTTCCTTGATAGAGGGTTGCTGCTCACAAGGAAGCTGTTAATCCAAGAGTTCCAAGTGGTGAAGTTGAAATCATCCCTTCGTAAATCTTACGGACGCCATCACGAGTTGGATGACCGTTATGGAATATCTGTTTCAAAGATGACGACGGATATGTTCCAATCCAACTACAATCCCGTCCTTTTTTTCCCGAATGTGACCTATTGAACAAGACTTATCACGGGTTTGTACTTACACGAGACACGACAGGTATTACATGCGGAGCAGGACCTGCTAACCTTCCGGCGCACCTGATATCACCCCCAGTTTTTTGGTTATTGTTACTCAGTCTTTATATTTCTATGTTGTGTTTTATGTACTGTTTGTCTTTTGGTCTTTTTTTTTTTGACATGGCGTTGTCAATTTATTTTCGACTCATGAGTTTGAATATCCCTTTGGTATCTTTTCGCCTCTCATATACTATATAAATCCTTGGTTTAATAAACTTGGGATTGTCAGCTAGTTCTTCCTTGAGGTAACTCCTAATAATGTTTTTATAATAATGTTAAAAATGTTAATTTCTTTTCGGAATTTTCAATTTCCCTCTCTGAAGTTTTTCCTTCGTAACAGTGATGAAAAAAAAACCGAAATTTGAGGTGGACATTAAGTTCCCATATAAATTCCAATGATTTGAAGATGTATGATTTTATCATAAAAAACAAAAATATTAACAAGCAAGAAAATTTAAAGCCTTTATAATGTCTGCTCAGTTCCTGGAACAATATTTTTTAATTTGTAATGAATAAAGAAAGACTGGATATTATTGCAACAGCAGATTCAAAAACAGAGTTATAATATCATTAATTAGGATTAAAGTAAGGTTGCAATTCTCTCAGGTGTTTTGGTGTTCTGTAAAAGCCCGTTTGGTTGTATAATGCTATCAAACTTTAATATTCCGAGATTTCTAGCATATATGAAATTGTCTCGAACGTGTCTGATGTAGATTATTCCAAAATCATGTACAACAGAAACACATAGAAATCAAATCATTCGTTCTCAGTCCTTATTGGTTTGACGTTCCAAGAGCATGTTATTGTAAACATATTTTTTAATCATGCACATAAGCTTGTTACTGTGAACTCCCCTTTGAGCGTTTGTTTGTTCGTTTCGTGAGTATGCCTGTGACGTACCTGCCCTTTCAGCTGTTGCTAGATTCTTTGATGGCTAGGTGAGTGACATATGCATGGATCTCACACTTGGCTATATCAAACACGGCGTGAAAAGATATAAAACCGAATGTTTTTATCGCCACCAATGTAATAACAAATGGGACATAGAAGAAAATACAAAAACAAATCGTCTAATACTGCTGTTCTTCGTGGTCTTTTTGTCCTTTACATCGTTATTTGTTTGTGTGGTAAATTACAAAGGCAATGATGTAATATTTGGCTATAGTTCATACGATAGGACTCCCTTCTTACGCAGTCTGCAAAATTACGTATGTTTCAATATCTTTATGCAAGCTGTTAACAAACTGACATTTGTAAAATAACAAGCAAGTAAATTAAAATTTGCTAACTATTTTTGTATCATAATAAAACAGACATATGAAGAAATCTTTGAAGTAATTTAAAATTGTGAACTAAGACTTGTATCTACATTGATCTTTCTTTTCTATTACAAGTTGGACGAAGTCTTTCAAACTGTATTTATGTTTTGAATGAGGACTACTAGTGTAAAGAGTAGAGAAGTCGATTGTTTATACTATTGCACTAGGAAAGAGATTCAGATTGTAAATACTCGAACAGATCATTGGAGTGTTTTATTATTTCATTATACATGCACATCTAAAATCACAACGCCCCGAGAGGAGGTAGGCTCATACAACTCGTGTGAAGAATTTTGAAATGGATTTAGTTGATCATTTGGCAGACCCAGCAATATAATGTTGTTTGATAATAACATAAGAAAACTTCTGACGATGTTCCTGACTTTGGACACGCAAATGAATGACGAAAGTTTAAGTCTTTAGTGCACTCGCCTTCCTCTTCTTCGTATTATGGATTTCGAATTGTCTACTTTAAGGTTAAGTTGTTTAATTTCAAATAGTTGTCTCTGGTTTTTCAAAGAAATCAACATACCGGTAGTTTAAACGCGGACCTCAAAATGAACTGTTATCCAAAAAGAAATATTCACATTACCGTTTGCTCAACACGAAAGTGGAGTAACAGGAGACTTTATTTGTACAAGACCGGCAATTGCAAATAAAAGCAAACATTTATTTGTGTACATGATATTTGTACAATAGTTGTAGCTAGGCTGATTGCAGGATAAATCTTAAAGTAAGACATATCTGTACGTCTGTGTATAAAAGTATTTATACATTTGATTACCAGTCCATAGAAATTAGGAGTGTAAAGGGGGGGGGAGGTGAAACTCACCAAAAATATGATAATAGAAAATAGGGATCAGAGCAGATTCTGGTATCATACTCTTAAAGCCCTCTATCGTATTCGAGAAACAATGTGTTGTGGTAATTGTTTTTAATGTATAACTATATGTGGATAGAATGAACATATGAACATTTATAGCTGTCGTTATTTGTCTATATTTGCCTAAATGAGTGTGGTTTGCTATGCCTTTTTTTTTATTGTACGGTTGGATTAGAAGGCTAAAATTTTGAAAATTAAACTTGAAAAACAAGAAAAATATAGAGTAAAAATATACAAACAACCGAACACATGGTCTAAAATGATGAGCATAAACTCCCACCATACACTAGTATTCTCGAACTCATTGTCATCTATTCACCTGAAATCTGAAATAAATGTATATATGAGCAGTATATGAAAAAATAATAGCATAACACTATTTCTGTACCTATTGTTTCCTCATAGTAACTTTGGCGAGAGAAGCGAGACAAACATATTTTGACTGAATATTTTTGGCCAAAAATAATCACTTTCTTGTGTGTAAAGACAAGATTACTTATTTTCAACATAATGGGGCCACGGAATATTCATTTCTGAAATTTTCAGCTCCCTTCCCCCAACGTGGCACCACATTCCAGAATCAACATTAATGGTAGGTTTACTCAGTTTAATCATTACTTTGGCAATTGCATGTCCCCCTGTGGGTGTATATTCAAACGGTTTCTTAGTCTATGGCAAATTGTATCATACTTTTTCAATACACCTTATCGCTATTCCCGCTTGACCCGAGAATCTGTCCCGCTTGAATTTTTGACGTCATACAACAATCACTTTTCCTTTGTGGCGTCAGATATTTTCTATTATGACGTCAAAATTTTACGGGAACTTTTGTGATGTCCAGTAATGGCGGACAAATAGCGATAAGGTGTATTAACAGTTAATTTAGCCAGAAAATCAAAGGCATTTGTGTGAAAACTGTGAAGGAAAACTTGTGTATATATGATGAATTGTTCTAAACCCCAACCCTATTACATAAGTCTTATAAAATAACCTTCTCATTATAAATTCTGATGTACGTATAGCACCTTTAACTAACATTTATAAGAAAGTTTAATTTAAGACCACTTAAATTCTAAATTCTTATTTGTAAATATATCCAGTTCTTACTTAACTTATTCTTACACCTCAGCACATTATGAATATTATTCTTAAAATTTTATGATGACAATCCTATGAATTAGTAATAATATTAATTATTTAGTAATTATTATTGCCTAAATTCAGTCATCTGTACATAATTAAATGTTTCCTTATGTTCTAAGGTGTATATGATAGTTGCTACAATTATACCCTGTGGGTAGTGCTCCACAATTAATGGAGGAATATACAAGAAACTGAACTGATTTGTTTCTCAAAAAATATCTTTATACTTTAATATAACACCTTGTGTTATTTTTAAGTATAACAAGTGTCTGTGAAGAAAATATGCATTCTCATTTCACATAAAAGGCTAGTCCTGTAATTCCGGAATCTGCGTACATTATCGATATAGATTTTGTATTTTAGAAGTGTCGATAACAGTTGTCTCCCTTACAATGGTTTAGCATCTATTTGGAAAAATGAGTTAGGATAATTAAAGCAAGAAAAATGAGTAGTAGCAGAGGGAGAAAGCTTAAGCCAAAAAGCATTAGTCCTACTACGGTCACTCCCTCCAAGAAGAGACGCCCTAGCACAGTAATATCATAACAATCAGTCATTCAATCACTCAGTCACTGTCGCATGCCAGTCCAAAATTTTAAATTCTTCTTCTTCTTCCGAATACGGGAGTAGACTCCTAGGTAGGAGTGTAAAACTTCCCGGAACTTGTGTGCTATGTACATATGTACTTAATTTAAAAATAATATGACAAAGAAAAATCATTAACAATAACATATATACATTATGTACAGTGTCAGTGGCTTTGTAGTTTAATAAGTTGTTGTGGCTCCTTCAAGTGTTAGAGTGGATATGCCACTTTTGAAGGATTCCAGGGTGTCAGACATATCTATTGCTTCAGGTAGTGAGTTCCAGTCCGAAATAGTGCGAGGATAAAAAGAAAATTTATAGAAATCTTTATTTGTTGATATTTGCCTAAATTTATGTTCCCCCCTAGTACGTCTATCAGATATTGTTAAATTGTCCTTAGGAACTTCCACTAACCCCCAATTTATTTTATATAGCATAGTTAATCTAGCTTTTTTCCTTCTTATTTCTAAATTTTCCCATTCCAATGATTTAATTAAATTTGAAACTGCTCCAGGTGATCTGTCTTTATAATCATTGAAGACAAACCTGGCTGCCTTACGCTGTACCTGCTCAACCTGAGTGATGTGTTGCTTTTTGTACGGATCCCATACAGGGGAAGAGTATTCGACGACTGGACGGACAAGTGATGTGTACGTAAGGTTTTTAACCTTACGTGTGCAGTTTTTTAAGTTCCTACCAAGAAAACCTAAGGTTTTATTTGCCTTACAGGTAATATTGTTTATATGTGTTCCCCAATCAAGATCATGGCTTATAGTTACGCCTAAATATTTACTATCTTTTACTGCTTCTAAAACATGACTGTGCAATATATAATCAAAAGTGGAAGGTTTACTTTTTTTAGAAATATGAATAACATAACACTTCTCAGGATTAAAATTCATTTGCCAGTCCTCTTCCCATTGTACTAAACTAGATAAATCTTTTTGAAGTAATTTGGCATCAGAACTATTATTAACATTTCTATACAATAAACAGTCATCTGCAAAAAGTCTTGCATTGCAAGTTACATGTTCGGGTAGGTCATTAATAAAGAGTAAAAATAATGTTGGGCCTAAAACTGTTCCCTGAGGGACACCAGAATCAACAGCTAATTTTGAAGATTTAACACCATTTAATAGTACCTGCTGTTGCCTGTCAGCTAAAAAGTCATTTATCCAATTTAAATTTTGATTCCTAATACCATAAAAGTTTAATTTCTGGGCTAATCTTTGATGGGGGACTTAATCGAAAGCTTTGGAAAAATCTAAAAGTATAACATCTATTTGGTTACCATAACCCAATGATTTTGCAAGATCTTGTAAACTGATGATAAGTTGGGTCTCACAAGACCTTTTACTTCTAAACCCATGTTGGCTATCATTTAATATGTTATTAATTGTAAGATGTTTCCTTATGTTGCTTGTTATAATGTGTTCTAGAATTTTGCAACATATTGCAGTTAGTGAAACTGGTCTATAATTAATAGCGTTATGCTTGTCACCTTTTTTAAATATTGGTACAACATTAGCCTGCTTCCAATCAGTTGGGATTTTACCAGTATCAATAGATTTTTGGAAAAAGAATGTCAAAAATGGAGACAATTCTTCTGCAAAGTTATGTAAAAAATATGCTGGCAGATTATCAGGGCCAGTGGCTTTGTGTGGATTTAAGTTTTTAAGTAACTTTAATAAGCCATTATTACTAATAAATATGTCTGGCATAGTGGGGTGGGGACTTGTACCTTTATTTGGCATAGAGGATGTATCTTCGGTAGTAAAAGCCTTTTTAAATTGTTCATTTAGGATGTTAGCTTGTGTATTCAGCTCACTATATAATAAGCCATCCTTTCCTCTTAATGGTGAAACACCAGATGTTTCTGTTTTTTTACTTTTTATAAATTGCCAGAAAGATTTAGGTTTTACTTCTAACTGGGGGCTAATTATTTCTTGCATGTACGTGCTCTGGGCTCTTCTTATTTCTCTTTGAGCAGTAGCTTTTAACTTTTTATATTTGTCTTTATGTTCTTGTTTACCAGTTTTTTTAGCTTTGTTGTAAGCTTTACGTTGTTTTTTACATAAATGGTCTATATCCCTATTTGCCCAAGGGTTGGTGTACTTAGATTTAGTTATTTTGCTTGGTACATTATCATCTATTATTTTATTACTACCTTCTTTGAATTTATTCCATAATTGGTCAATATTTAAATTTTCATTAGCCTGAGATACAAGTTCAGATATAAATTGAAATGTTATGTCCTTTATCTTTTTAATATCAACCTTTTTCCATAAATAAATTTTATGTTGTGATTGTTTAGATCTTTGGGGCTTGCAGATTGCATCCACTAATACAATATCATGGTCAGATATACCTGGTATGGATTTTATTTTTGTTATCAATGCAGGTTGGTTTGTGCAGAAAAGGTCAAGGATATTATCTTTCCTAGTTGGAAAATCAACCATTTGTTCAATGCCTAAGTTGTTCAGCATATCTATAAATGCTTCATTCAGCTCCTTAGTATACAATGAGCCAGATATATTTTGCTCCGGCCATTTTATGTCTGGAAGGTTAAAGTCACCACCAAGCCAGAAGGTGGAATTTTTAAATTTTAATTTAAGTTCATTAATTTCAATGATCATTTGTTTGAGATAGTCTATATCATTTTTATTTGGTGGTCTATATGCAGAAATAATAACTAAGGATTTAGTATCAGTTATATTAATTTGGGCAGCAATAAGTTCTACATTTTTGCTTTTATATACTTCTTGGCAAATAATACCTTTTTTAATGGCGATTAATACACCTCCACCTTCTTTTCCGACCCGGTCGTTTCGGAATACATCTTCAAATAGTGTGTTTGGAAAAATTTCAGAAGATAATACATCTTTGTTTAGCCAAGTTTCATTACCAATAATAATATCTGGTTTAGATGACGTCAATAAATTTTCAATTTGAGGAACTTTATTTTTACAACTTCTAAAATTGATCTGAAGAACTCTTAATGAGTTTTGTCTATTAATATTCTTATTTTTTAATTGCTTCGTTACTGGTGGTTTTGGTGATGATGTAGCAACTGGGTCTCCAAAATTTTCATGATTATCATTTATATTGAAGCTTAAGGAAAAAGCTGAACTATCAGAAAGTACTGAATATGAGTTAGGGTTCAAAATAGAATTACCTGATGAGAGGTATGATTGAAAAATGGTTCTAGAGTGATTAGGAGTATCACATATCGGGCATATCCAAAGTGCTGATGAATTTCCAAACTTTTCATACATAGATGGACTTATATTTACACATCCAATATGACACCATTTATCGCAGTTATCACAAACAATAGCATCACTGTCCCAGGTACACTCATGCGAGCAAATAGAGCATGGATAACTGGAGTCGTTCAAGTTTGATGGGCCAGGGTTGGTTTCAACCTGGTTGCTTAAAAGAATTCTAATCAAAAGATGAATGTGGCGATCTGATTTGCCAAAAACACATCTATTTTTAAAATTGGACACACGCAAGTGCCAGTAATAAATCTGGGTAGATACCTCAATTGTTGTGTCACATTGAAGGCTGATAGTGATACCCTCATATTTGTTGGATTCTAGTATATTATTTTGTATATTAAACTCATTGACTGTGCTCAGAAAAATAAAAAATGTTGAGCAAATCACGACTAAGCTATGTTTAAACATTTTGACAGAGTCTAAGTGTCACAAAAATATAATCAGTGAAGAGAAGGATGGTGACTCTCATACACATTCATAACATGTTTAATAAGACAGTTAGTAGTTGATGACAAATTAGATCTTCGTTCCTTGGGCGACTCAAGGACACAGGATAAACACACTAGGAAGCCATATTATATAAGGTGTAAGGATTGATAGATAGGATATTATTACCTATTTAATCACAGAGACTCTGTTTGACGATCAAAACAAAAACAAACAAAAAAGTAAACCGGAAGTGGTTTACACTGTTTACATATAAGGAAAATAATTTTCCCGCCACTGTACAAATGTGAATCAAAAATTTACGTATACAAATATTTTAATTTACAAGGAAATATCAAACTTTTTGATAATTTCATACACACAATGACAAATGTAAGCCAAATATTGATGTAATAGCAAGTTCCGGGATTTATTACTCTAGAAAAAGCTGTAAGTTCCAAATATTTTTGAGAGCTGCAATTTAGACGTCCATTTCCTAGCACATGCGCACAGTAAATTATGACGTCTTGAAATGATATTTTAATTTTTAGCTGTGAAATGCATATACATGTACATGTCTTTAATTTTTATTCAACCATATAACTATTTAAGACCAGATAGCTCTTAAAAATGGTTGTAAATGTCATTACTCTATAATAGAACTAGAAGCAGACAAGTCTAAAGAAACAAATTAGCTCTAAGGGTAAAACTTAAGCCTAAAACAAATGTTCACCTAAACACTTATTTACAAAAGTAAATGAATAGTTGCTCAATAGAAACACCATATTACTTAATAATAAGCTGCAAAGTTAAAATAAATCTGTGAATATACTCAATGAATTACGGTACAATAAATTTACTACATATTTTGACATGTAAAACAATTTTTTTTGTCAATAATTTATGTAAGCAGTAATAACAATTTGTTGATTTTTTAGAAGTTTCAACCACTGGCCTTCTTCAGTTTCTCTATTACCTGATAAAACAATGACATCAATGTAAAGATCAGTTACAATAAGCTTAACCAGATAAGCTAGTACTAGTGTAAAGTGTTAATGGTAGTACTTCACCTCAAATTGTATCAAAGTCAGCATACTTTATAGACTTGTATCAAACTTGATTCGCATATACATGGCATAGTCAGATTTGATTCATAGCAACGAAAATGTCTTATGAGCTGTTCTTTTGTATTTACCATGTTACCTGTACATGCTTAAAAATAATTTGATATTGTTTTGTTTTTTTGTCTAAAAAATTATCTTTATGGCAAATGAAGTACAAATGTAATAAAATAGAAAATTATCTGGGGAAAAAACCCTGTATTATTATATTTTTTTTTTATAAATTGACAATAATAAAAGCTAAATCAACAGTTAAATTTATAGCTACATGTAGCTATGTGAAAAGCCAACTAGTTCAGATGATGTCTTTGTCTTTATTTTTGGTTTATTTTTATTGCCAAATAAGCCCCAAAATGTACCTTATCTTTAAGTAAATTTTCAGCTGGATTTCATAGAGGGTATCATTTATGTGTATAAATCAGGAAGCTAGACTATTTTCACAGGGCACAGCACCTGTACTTTTCATCTAATGACATGCACCCTTTTTCCTCTCTATTCTGGCTACCTGCCTTTATTTTTACAGCCAGCTGTAGCACCAGCTCCAGTGACCATTAAAGTTGAACCAGAAGAGGAGATAGCTCCAACAGCCAGCCGTGAAGACAGTCCTGCTCCTTTAGAATGTCTGGATAAAATTCCTGTGTTTAAAAATAAAAATTTTGTGGTAAGTTACTCACTCAGAAGAAAATCATTACAGTTACAGAACTTACAGTAGAAAAATTTTAAAGAATCTCTCTAGAGTTGACTCAACCGAGCATTTATAATATTGGTGTGATATATGAAACAAAATAGTCAATAGATTTGTTTTATTAATCTGTAAATTTGTGAGAAAGTACCTTTAGAATGCAAATGAAGCTTTATATTTTACCTTTTAAAAGTTTGAAGTTCTTTGAACTCAATTTGTTCTTGTGTATGTGAAAAATAAAATAATGTCTCCCATGAAATGTTGTCTGCCAGTGTATTTCAATTAGAAATAGTGTCCTTATCTATGAAATGTTGTCAAGTTCTTCCAGACAATCTTTCACTGAATTTCTGTCCATGACAATATTGCACAGTGAAAAATTGCATTTGAATATATTATTTTTAAAAAAGTAATTTGTAAAATGAACTAACAATTAAATTTTCTATTTACTTTAAAACTGGTTCATGCAATGGTTTTTCCTTTGACACATTCCCCATTTTCATTTTTCTCTATTCTATAGTATAATATACAAAATACATGTATATGTTGCATTAAGGGGAATACAGAATTAAAATAGCAAGTAAATGTAGGTGACATCAGAAATCTGTAAATAGTTTCAGTATTATATAAAGGTATTTGTTTTACCATTATCTGTTTCTTCTTTAAAAGTTCTTTTAGATAATAAGAATAAATATTTCCTGCTTTCAGCAGGTACTATTGTATTGATTTGAAAGTAAATACATGTAATGCAGATCAGTACTTTTCTACTTCACTCTTGGAATGGGCATATACTGCAATGCCCTTGAATTGTCTGTATATCCATCTGTTATTGAGTCCAGTAATATGCCCATTCCTAATTTCTGTTAAATTTTACTCCATTTGTGTACCGGTAGAAAGAAATGATTTGATATTTGGTTTGTAACTTTATAATTTTGAGTTATATTTGTGAAAGCAATTTTCAAATCTACCAGGTAGTACGTGGATTTTCTGTTTGTACAGTATATACAAATTCTATCAATAATAACTGGAGTAAGCTTTGTAAATGAACCTTTTGCCATCAAAACCGTACTACATGTACTGTAGAGAAAGGCAATTCAAGTTTAATTTTTGCCTTAATCACATGTTCCGTGTTAAAAACTTGTATTTCCAACCTTAAATTATGCCTTGTCAACTATCTCAGAATATTTTAAACTGATAACAAGTAATAGCATAAGTTAACATAGTATGTGATTATTTTGTTATAATACTTCATCCCATAAAATGCTGATCAAGTCAGATTTTCACTGTTAACACGTATACAGTTCCATAGTTGTGTCCTTAAATTGTCTCAAAAATTATAAAAAAAAAACAGTCTTGTGGTGATAACATTTGTTTATTCACTTTAATTATCTCAAAAAAATAAAAAAAACAGATTTTGGATGGTAACATTTGTTTATAGTTACTACCCAGCATGCTGCAGTTCATGTTAAAGTTAATTGTTACTGTACTCAGTTAACACTGTTACTGTTACTGTATATCTAGAGTTAGGATTCAAAAATTGTCTCAAATTAGAAAAAATTGAAAATAGAAAAAAGTTTTAATAAGTCAGATTTTTTATATATTTATGTACAGTTCCAATTTTACAAAATTTAACATCAGAAGTTAGCCATTTCACTGTCAAAATGTTGAATAGGATTTGGGAAATTCAGTCATGTATCTTTTCATTAAGGAAGTTATGAAATGAATAGAAATGTAAGAGTCAAATTTAAAAAATAGGGTTGTTCCAAAAACTAGATTTTTCTATAATCCTGTTTTTAAGAATTCAACATTTACATGATTAAAAAGAAATTTATTAGTGTTTTTATGCTCCCATTGCAGTGGAGGCATTACATGTTACCCTTGTCTGTCTGTATGTCTGTCCGTACGTCCCAAACTAAGTCAACCAAATGTTATGAAACTTATACATAATGCTTATTACCACAAAACAGAGTTCAATTTTGAATTTGGATGGCGTCACTTTTACTGTTCTAGAGTTATGCGCCTTTACAAATGGAAAAAATGCTGAATTTTTCATTTCAGTTCTCTAACTTTAGTTACATCACTTTTACAGTCCTCTAGTTATGTCCCTTATATAACGTTATATGCAAGAGGGGTATCATCTATGTCCCATTGACACATTCTCCATTTATTATAAACCTGAATCATAAAAGATTGCTCTATACAGACATAGAATGTACTGTATACATTGCACAAAGGAGAAAACCTAATGATTTGTAGGTAAATGCATTTAATATAATATGCCACATATCTTTCTTAATCTGACAGCAATGCCAAATAAATTAATATCAAAATCATTATATACAGTAACACCAATTATTGCATTGATAGTAAAATTCTGAATATTCATCACCTTTTTTGGCATACATTCTGAAAAATTGTGAATAGATCTTTTAAACAATTCTTTGAAATGTAAAGAAATATTTCTAACTTTTCAGCATTCCTGTGTAGGTAATAGTGGAACAAAGAAAACAAGAGTTTGGAAAAATCTCAAGCAAATCATTGCAACAGAGAAAACACAACCATGGAGACCGGATGATGTCACATGTGAGTTATCTCCCATTAATTGATACACCCCAAAATATTTTTCATACAAATTGAATTACTTCCCTTCTATTGCAAATAGCAATGTTAAAAATTTGTGAAGAAGAAATAATTTTATTGAACTTCAGTTAGTGAGTGAGTGATATTATATCCTAGATAAAATATTAAATCAATCATAAAATATTGCTGTTTGAATAGAACAAAGTTCATCTTTTTTTCTCAGTCCTATTACCACTCCCTGGTTTGATAGTGACACAGTATAATAAAAATCTTATTTATTATTTTTTTTAAGCCACAGAACAGTTATTTTCATTGTAAACAAGGACTATATGATATCAAACAAAAATATATTTCATCTTTAAATAAAAGTTAGTATTCTCAATAAAAAGTCTTATTTGAAATTTATACTTTTTTTTAGCTCACCTGGCCAAAAAGGCAAAGTGAGCTGTTCTCATCACTTGGCATCCATCGTCCCACGTTGTGGTCTGTCGTCTTTTAACTTTTACAAAAATCTCCTCTGAAACTACTGGGCCAAATTTAACCAAACTTGATCACAATCATCATTGGGGTATCTAGTTTAAAAATGTGTCTGATGACCAACCAAGATGGCAGACATTGCTAAAAACAGAACATAGGGTAAAATGCAAGTTTTTCCTATTATTTTAAAAACCGCTATAAATAGAAAAAATCTGACAGGGACAAAAATGTTCAGAATATTGCTGATCTGTACCTGTTGTTTGTTTACGTCAAAACTGTCAGACGACTTCTTATAGGAGTTTTGGCCCTAAACTGATGAACTTTACCATTTTTAAATTTTTTTACCTGTTATCTCGAAAATTATAATAGATAGACAGAAACTTTGAATAGCAAAAATGATCAGCAAGACAAGATCTACCAAATAAATCAACATTACTGAAATCTTCGGTCAACCCCCTTTTAGATTTTTTGCCCTATAGTGACGATTTTTACCAATTTTTTGCGTTTTTTGCCTAATATCTTAAGAACTATATTAGATAGATAGAAACTTCAAATAGCAAAAATTATTAGCAAGACAAGATCTACAAACAACTAAACATGATTGAAATTGTTAGTCAACTCCTTATTGAAGTTATTGCCTTTTAATGATGATTTTTCACTTTTTTGCCTATTATCTTGAAAATTGTAATAGATAAATAGAAACTTTAAATAGCACAAATGATCAGCAAGACAAGATCCACAAATAAGCCATATGGTCAAAATGTTCAGTCTACTTGTTATTGGAGTTATTGCCCTTTAATGATAATTTTTAACATTTTTAGCTCACATGGCCTGAAGGGCAAAGTTAGCTTTTAATCTTCTTCTCAGAAACTGCTGATCCAAATTTTACCAAACTTGGCCATAATCATCATGAGGGTATCTAGTTTAAAAAGTATGTCTGATGACCCTGCTTGTGAACCAAAATGGCTGACATTGCTAAAAATAGAACACAGGGGTAAAATGCAACTCTTGCCTTTTATTTTGGAAAACCACTATAGATAGAGAAATTCTGACAGAGCAAAAATATTCAAAATGTTTAGCTCTAACTACTGTCTGATTAAGTCAAAACTTGCAGACGATTGGCCTAAAATGACAAATTTTACCATTTTTTAAATTTTTCCCTATTGTCTCGAAAATTATAATACATTTTGTAGATAGACAGAAACTTTAAATAGCAAAATTGAACAGCAAGACAAGATCTACAAATAAGTCAACATGACTAAAATGATCAGACAACTCCTTATTAGAGTTATTGCCCTTTAATGACAATTTTTACCATTGTTTTTGCATTTTTGCCTTATATCTTAAAAACTATAATAGATAAATAGAAACTTTTGAAAAAAAATATGATCAGGAAGATAAGATCTACAAATTAGTCAACATTTTAGAAATTGTAAGTCGACTCCTTTTTGAAGTTATTGCCCTCTAATGACATTTTTTCCCATTTTGGCCTATTATCTTGTAAACTGTAATAGATAGATAGAAACTTTAAATAGCACAAATTTTTTAAATGATCAGCAAGCCAAGATCTACAAATAAGCCATTATGGTCAAAATCTTCATTTTTTTGCATTTTTTGCCTATTATCTTTAAAACTTTAATTATGTTAATTGATAGATAGAAACTTCAGAAAAATTATCAGCAGGATAAGATCTACAAATATGTCAACAGGACTGAAATTGTCAGTTAACTCTTAATAGAGTTGTTTCCCTTTAATAATGATTTTTCTAAAAAGTAGCCATTGTTGAAGATACAGGTGAGCTACACAGGCTCTTTAGAGCCTTTAGTTTTGCATTTTTTGCCTATTAACTTGAAAGCTACATTAGATAAATAATTTTTTTTTAAAGGAAACAATTATCAGCAGAATTAGATCTACAAATATAAAAAAGAAGATGTGGTATGATTGCCAATGAGACAACTCTCCACAAGAGACCAAATGACACAGAAATTAACAACTATAGGTCACTGTACAGCCTTCAACAATGAGCAAAGCCCATACCGCATAGTCAGCTATAAAAGGCCCTGAAATAACAAATATAAAACAATTCAAACTAGAAAACTAACGGCCTAATTTATGTACAAAATAATGAACAAAAAAAAATATGAACACAGCAACAAACGACAACCACTGAATTACAGGCTCCTGACTTGGGACAGGCACATACAGAATGTGGCGGGGGTTTAACTAGTTTGAAGGCGCCAACCCTCCCCTAACCTGGGACAGTGGTGTAACAGTACAACATAAGAACAAACTATAAAAATCAGTTGTCAACATGACTGAAATTGTCAGTTAACTCTTAATAGAGTTATTCCCCTTTAATGGTGATTTTGACCAAAAAGCAACCATTATTGTTGAGCGACACAGGCTCTTTAGATTCTCTAGTCATTATTAAAACATTTATAACCATTAAGAGGCTTGTTAGAATAATTTAATCTGATGGTAAGGTAGTCATTAACAAGATAAGATCCTTTGTCAAATATTCTATAGATATAGCCACTATGAATTACAAAGTGAACCTACAACTGAGATAAAATTCATTTGCTGTATTTGATTTATCCCCATACTGGACTTCAGTTATATGTTGTCTAGCATGCTGGCCAGGTTATTTAAAATATAGGGTTGGCGGCAGCATTAAAGATCTCAGTATATGTCAGCTCCATAAAAGGAGGTAAACTACTTTAACTCCATGTCTCTGTAACACATTTTCTGGCACGTTTTTCACAGCAACTATGTATACAAGTCATTGTTTTTTTGGGGGTAAAGAAAGCATAAAATGAAGTGTGGTGCATTTTCAGTTTCTTTCAATTTATGCTTCCTGTATGCTGAAAACATGTACATGTATCTTTAAAATGGCATGCACATATTTGATTTTTATCAATGAGATAGAATCAACAGTTTTATTTCGTTGTTGATTCTACCAACTGCAGTTGATTTACTGTATATCACTGAGATTGCTCTAACGTTTTTCATGCATATAAATTTACAGATAATTCCATTGTTGCTCCACCACACTCTTCATGCATATAATGTTGCAGATAACTAAATAGATGCTCCTCCCTGTTTTTCATACATTTAATTTTCATATAACTAAATAGATGCTCCTCTATGTTTTTCATACATTTAATTTTCATATAACTAAATAGATGCTCCTCCATGTCTATTCATACATTTAATTTTCATATAACTAAATAGATGCTCCTCCCTGTTTTTCATACATTTAATTTTCATATAACTAAATAGATGCTCCTCCATGATTTTCATTTATATAATTTAACAGATAATTAAATTTTTATAATTTAACAGATAACTAAATAGATGCTCCTCCATAATTTTGATGCATATAATTTTACAGATAATTAAAACGATGCTCTTCCATGTTTTACATACATATAATTTTACAGATAACTCCATAGATGCTCCTCCATCTTTCAAACCAGCTAAGAAATACTCAGATCTCTCAGGACTTGCTGTAAGTATTTTTTCATTTGATTAAATCTTTGTAATAATATGAGAATAAGGAGATGTGGTATGATTTTCAATGAGACAACTATCCACCAGAGTTAAAATAAAGAGGTAGTAAGCAATTATAGGCCACAATATAGCCTTCAACAATGAGAAAAAACCATACCGTAAAGTCGGCTATAAAGACCCTGACATGAAAAATGTGAAACAATTTTACGAGAAAACTAAAAACAACCTTATTCATAATAAAACACTTTAAGAAAAATAAATATGACAGACATGAACCAACAACAACAACTGTACTACAGGCTCCCCACAATGGACAGGCACAGAAAGAATGTGGCTAGGTGAATCATGTTTGTGAGCACTAACCTGGGACAGTGGTGTAACACCAAAACATAAGAACAACCTGTAATAAACATATGCAATTTGATTTACTCAAAAGATCAGTAAGTGGCGCAAATACAACTAACATAAAAAGAATAGACACATAGCACCGAGATAAGAGTACAAATACTGAAAGCTAGTTCAAAGCCGATTACAACTTATAAATAAATCTTTGTTTCCTCAGACTAAAGTATCAATTCTGGTTGAAACCAATAATTACAGATATGAAAGCTTAAGAAAGTTAGTGTTTCATTACTGAATAAAAGAAAGTAAATACTATTGATTGCTTTCATTGACCAAATCTTTCAGTTAATATCAGTATCATTTACATATATTTTAAGAATAAGTTTAAATAAATTTTCAAATACCTATCAAGTATCAAGTACACCTACAGTTTATTTTAGCCAGTCTTTGTGTGTTATACTTATTATTTGCTGTTGTCCAAGAACTTAGTTTCCAAAAGAAAATGCTATTATTGCAACAGTAAACCAAAGAAATAAGATATTTTTTTATGCTGTATGTTATATAAAACAATTACAATGTAAGCACATTAAATCCTACCGGTTTGTTAGAATGCCCCAAAAAATCTTTACCTGTCTGAATCAGATTTTTGATATTGTTGAAAACTTTAATCTTTCTGAATGGCAGTAACCAAAGTAAAAAATATTGAACATAGTCACAATATTAAAAATTGTCATGGTATTTTGTTCATTTATCACTTTCTGTGTAATAATTAAGATTTAATTTTCATTGTGATAATATTGTCAAGTCAATCTTTTGATTTTAATCCACTGTGTATTGCATTGGAAATATTGAAATGACCTTGTTTGAAAATCTATTTACCACTTTCTTGTTTGATTCTGCCATCAATGGCAGTGACCCTATAGTGGTAAGTAAGTCCTTCAATCTTTGTATTTGATAAATAATGTCTGCTGTATATCTTGTTTACTCCTGGCTCTTTAGTGATTAGTGTGGCCATCCCTCTTTTTATCTGCTTATATCTTGTTTACCCTGACCCTATAGCATGTATAGTGATCAGTGTGGCCATCCTTTCTTGTATTTGATAAAAGAAATGTCAGCTCTATCTTAAATACCCTGACCCTATAGTGATCAGCGTGGCCATCCTTTCTTGTATTTGATAAAAACGTCAGCTCCATCTTAAATACCCTGACCCTATAGTGATCAGCGTGGCCATCCTTCCTTGTATTTGATTATAAAATGTCAGCTCTATCTTAAATACCCTGACCCTATAGTGATCAGCATGGCCATCCTTCCTTGTATTTGATAAAAAAAAATGTCAGCTCTATTTAAAGTACCCTGACCCTATACTGATCAGCATTGCCATCCTTCCTTGTATTTGATAAAAAACGTCAGCTCTATCTTATATACCCTGACCTTATAGTGATCAGAGCAGCCATCCTTCCTTGTATTTGATAAAAAACGTCAGCTCTATCTTAAAAACCCTGACCCTATAGTGATCAGCGTGGCCATCCTTCCTTGTATTTGATAAAAAATGTCAGCTCTTTCTTAAATACTCTGACCCTATAGTGATCAGCGTGGCCAACCTTCCTTGTATTTGATAAAAATGTCAGCTCTATCTTAAGTACCCTGACCATTTGTGATCATCGTGGCCATCCTTCCTTGTATTTGATTAAAAACGTCAGCTCTATCTTAAAAACCCTGACCCTATAGTGATCAGCGTGGCCATCCTTCCTTGTATTTGATAAAAAATGTCAGCTCTTTCTTAAATACTCTGACCCTATAGTGATCAGCGTGGCCAACCTTCCTTGTATTTGATAAAAAATGTCAGCTCTATCTTAAGTACCCTGACCATTTGTGATCATCGTGGCCATCCTTCCTTGTATTTGATAAAAAACGTCAGCTCTATCTTAAGTACCCTGACCCTATACTGATCAGCGTGGCCATCCTTCCTTGTATTTGATAAAAAATGTCAGCTCTATCTTAAGTACCCTGACCCTATAGTGATCAGCGTGGTGGCCATCCTTCCTTGTATTTGATAAAAAATGTCAGCTCTATCTTAAGTACCCTGACCCTATAGTGATCAGCGTGGCCATCCTTCCTTGTATTTCATAAAAAATGTCAGCTCTATCTGAAATACCCTGACCCTATAGTGATCAGCGTGTTTGTCCAGTTTTTATGTGATTAATTATGTTTGTTTTTTTTTAGTACCCCTGTCATAGCAATGACCAGTATGACCATCCTTCTTGCATCTGATTAATAATGTCTGCTGTATAGTCCTTGAAGTTGATTCATGATGTTGGTATTAATGTTTTTTTCAATATATTAGAATTTTAAATTTTAGTTTAAAGGTCAAGGTTACAAACTAAGTTGAAATTGCTTTGTCTGTGTCCATATTAATAAATCTTATTCACTTTAACCCTCGGATAAATGTTTGAATCTTTAGCTTTAAGTACTGCTTGGAATCAGTACAAATATAAAAAATTATGGTTGTATAGTTGGAAGGTATTGGCCGAATAGCATAAGAGATAATCTGAAATATATTTCATTGTTGCTCTTTGAAATTAAGTGATAGAAGTTACATATGGATTTAAAGGATGGAGCATAAACCGGGTATTAGTAAGTTACGTATGTTTTATAGGAAGGAGCATATACAGGGGTAATTTGTAAGTTACATAAAACTGATGACAAGTTACATATAACTGATGATGTTTTTCCAAGAATTCTATAATATGTTGACTGACATATATTCATAACAACACAATCAAAAGAAAAATCACTGGCCATTTTAAGGACATTTGTACGAAAACTTGACTTATAAAAAAAGTCTTTTTGTCAAGCCTGTGAAATAACAAGACATAGCGATCCTAGATTCAGGCAGGGTAGGAGGCATCAGCAGCGTAGGTGGTGTCAGCGGCGACAACATATAGGTTCAGTCTGTGGTTAAAGTTTTAAGACATCAATAATTTTGTCAAACCTAAATGGAATTTTATGAAATTTGGACAAAAGCTTGTTTATGACCAAAATGCAGTATCCATAGCTATATTTTGAAAATGTCTATTTACATTTTTCCATATTCTACTAATAAATGGACTTAGTTTTTTTACAGTTAACATTCAGATTTAGTCTGAGGTTAAAGTTTTTCAGTCATCAATAACTTTGTCAAACCTTCATGGAAATTTGGAAAGAAGCTTGTTTTTTTACCAAAATACAGTCTCCAGCGCAAACTTTTGAAAATATTTATTTTCACTTTTCTGTATTTTTCTGATAAATAGACTTAGTTTTTTTACAGTTAACAAGGACTTACAGTCTGGTGTTAAAGTTTGTTACACATCAATTATTTTGTCAAATCTTCATATGAAACTTCATCTTCGCTAGCCAAGGGTTACGATCCACTTCCTGATCTACTTCCCTCCTCTCCACCCTTGGCAGATTAAGCCAACATTTGTGATAACAATGTTGCGCCATCTATCGGTAGATTAAATTCACGCCCATTCCGAATACATTATTCTTGACCAATGGTAGCACTTGAACTCTTCAATTTGGAGGTAAAAACACGGTAGCGTCTAGATTCTACACACTTGGTAAAGCAGGAAACAGAAATATACGTTGACATTCATGCATTTGTGCAAGAAACATATACAGGAACTTCTATTAATTGATTAAAAACATTCAAATTGTCACTAAATATAGTCGTATGTTTAGGGATGTAAAGACTTGTTGCACAATAAGCACGTGCCAATTTGTTTATATACACACTTTCTACATTTACACGTGATCATGTTATAGGCGCTTTTTGATTGGATGCAGCGAGTTTCGACTGCAACCAATAAAAATCATTACCTTGTGTCTCCGAAATTCTATCTCATCCGCCAAGGGTGGAGAGGAGGGAAGTGGATCGCAACCCTTGGCTAGCGAAGATGATGAAACTTTGGCAGAAGCTTTTTAGTTATTAAGAGATAATGTCTGAAACAAACCTTTGAAAATATATTTTTCTTCATTTTTAGTATTTTTCTGATAGATGGACTTAGTTTTTTACAGTTAATATTTACAGACAGTCTGGGATTAAACTTTTTTGACATGATTAATTTGTAAAACTTCATAGATTGTTATGAAACTTGGATAAAAGCTAATCTGCTAGACCATGAAATAGCATCGAAAGAAAAAGTTTTTTTTTTAAATTCTGTATTTTACTGATAAATGGTCTTACTTTTTAAGTCAACTTAACACATTTACACTGACAGAAGCAATTGCAGGCGAGACACAGGGTTCCATGGAACTCCTTACAATTTATTTTTTTACAGAACCTCTTGAGTAAAAATGGTCTTTTTTCAAGTCTGTTTTGTATGAAGGCTATAAATGGCCATTAAAGATCTTATATGAGTTATTAGTAACCCAATATAAACAAATTTGTATAATTGATAATATCTATATGAGCCTGACATAAGAAAGTCTAACTTTGGACACTTTTCTGGGGAAAACTCCAAGATTCATCATTTTTTAAGAGTACCTAGAAACCATACATTTCTTGAATGAAAAGAGCAATGATTATTATTTTCGGATGATCACAGAGAGTAATCCACATTTTTGAAACTGTCAGTGACATCCTCAAATTAGATTAACAGCAACAGTTATGTGAAC